ACGCGATCAAGACACTCTGGTTATATCCGACAAACACATACATATACATATATCAACATGAGAATATGTACTAATATGGGTTCTTCATCAATCCTTGTCTTCTTGGGTGCACAGGCACAAAGCCTAAAATAAAAAATTTGTAGATCTATAGATTCCTAAGAAAACATTGATTTATACTAAACTCTCCAGAACTAAACATCTCTTCATATTTTCACCAATGTATCCTTTTATTCTTGGGTGCACAGCACAAAGCCTAAAATAAAAAAAAATCATTTGAAGATCTATAGATTCCAAACGAAACATTCATTTATACTAAACGCTCTAGAACAAAAATCTCATCATGGTTTCATCGAAATTGCCTCCAATTCCGAAGGTTCCCCTTGCCACCTTTCTTTCCCCTAGCGCATGGTTACAGAATTCTACCCACGCGGGAAATTCCAGAACGAATTAGCTGCGCGATGTCGAGAAGATGCTTCATTGGCGAAGACAAATCGCAGCCGCGACGCGTGCTGGCTCGCCGGTATCGACGAAACAGAAACCGTCTGGAAAACGACGTCGTCGCGATCCCGTGAGAGGATGCCACGGGGAAATTATTAGCGTGGGATCTATTGCCAGTCCCAGAAGTGGCGAGTAGGAGACACCGTTACAGCGATACGTGCAATCCGACTGGCCCTTTGAAGCATTCCAGCTTCTAAACATCCGTGGAATGTCTTACTTGCCTACCTCCTCGGATGGTCTCCGCGGAAATCGTCGGCGTATGTGTACGTGTGTGTTAAGATGCTTGAAAGATATGCCCTCACTGTTCGAATGTTCGATGTTCCCGATTTTTCAACAATTCCCCATTGCAATAATCGCGGACACCGTGGGAATTCCGTGAAACGAGACTTGTGTGTCCCGGAGCGATCGAAAGATGACCTGCATCACTGATCGATGGATTAGATGACGTCGAGGGGGGTACGAAAGCCTCTTTTCTATGCCGCGGTAAACGTGTAGTATGTGTGTGACAAAACCTCGTTGGCCTGTACTCGGGTAAAGTACGTAACACAGTTTCCGGTTGAACGGTGCATGGCCCCTGGATTTACGTGGCACTTTTTGCAGGAAGATTCAGTTTGTACATCAATTTTACGGCTGACATTTGTAGGTACGCGAATTGCTGCATATCCCTCGAGGATCTCAATGACGATCTTATGTACTCATCCAATATAATTCCTAAATGAAATTCTGGAAATGCTAGTAAGAAATTATTAGATTGGTACATATGAAATGTCGTTTATACGAATGAAACTCTGATTATATATAACTATTTTTAATAAAACATTGTACGTTTAATTAAAATAATTTTCACATAATTCTGTATTTTTATTCATTTTGAATGCATTTCTTCAATTTCATTGCATTAAAATTCTGCAATTAGATTCTAGCACCAGGCGTGTCCAAGTTTTATGGGAACCTTCTTAATTCGATCTCGATTCGCGTGATTTTACGGTTTTCTTGCGCCTATCGAGCGTAGCCATCGGCAACGTCCGATGGTTCCGGTAGGATAGGCACGGATAGTTCTTCACCGGCGGCCACGAGTCGTTAACCAATCAGCTGTAATTGTTCGACATTCGTCGATGCAAATTCAGAACGAAAGCAGCCCCGTGCCTCTCAGCGGGCGTCGCTGCCGCATTAATTAAATACGCCCCGCAACAAAGAGCCATCAGCCAACCGCACACGTGGATAGTCGCAAACGCTGACGTTCTATCGGTCGTAATCCGCGACGTGCCACTTATGCGTAGAACACAGTTGTAAACTCAGTTTTAATTAACGTCCTCCGCGCGACAGTGGGCGTACTCAGCTGCACGCCAATCCACCAGCCACCCTGTCAGCCTCTCCTATTTGCTCTATCTCTGGGAGCCTCGCAATTGACATCGTGACACTGTCTACGATCTAAATATAACCATCGTTTGCAAGTGAGAGTTTTTTTGTAACGGGAGTTGTCCTCAAGATTGTTTGTATATTTTTCAATGAGGGGAAACTGATAGCGACGATACAAATATCTGGATGTTTTAGAAAACTGGTTTTGTGGTGGATTGAGATCGGTTGGTTTATTTGAACTCTTTGCACTCCTATGTCGAGTTGCACTCGACATCATTTTTGTTCATAGAAACTAAAAAGTAATTTTTGTACATATTTAGTCTTCTTTTCATTAATTGAAAATTTTTTATTTTTCAATTGAAAAATTTAGAGGTTCCATCAGTATTATTAGATTACTACGTAGTTTGCAATCTATTTTCAACATAATTAATAATAGAATGTGTTTAAAGTTAATCTACAATATTTGTGGCTTTGAGACACTTTCTTACTATACTTTACGGAACATATTTACATACTTCTTTCTCTTTTACATGTTACATTCTTATCACTCTGTTATATTCAGGCCCAATGGGCCTACATGAGGCTGGGGTACCTCGGGATCGCCGAACCCGTACTGTAGTTGCGACCAAGCACAGCCACAGCCCCCTGAGGGCTTGTGGTGGATTCATGAGGTTTCATTTGAGAGAGGAGAGTCCCAGATGTGGCCTTCTTAGTAGGCCTTCTATCTCTAATTGTTTGTACGATAGGGCGTGAAATTTTTGATCTAATTGCAGTGGGAGAAGCTGCAAAACAATTAAGGATTGTTGATTTTACGCCTAATGAATTGCGCCAGAAACCGCTGAAGAAGTGAAAGAACAAGAATTCGAGGAAGTCATTTCGCGGTCAGTCGGTACGTGGCGATCGTGTTTCCAGGGAACCAAGTTCGAATACCAATGTTGGACAAAAACGTTGCCCTTGTCAGAATTAAGTCACGCTGAAAAAGGATTTTAATACGCGAGAACTTTCATCCTCAGAGCGACGAAAGGATCATAAAAAAGGATAGATTATCGGGGATTTGCTAGCTGATGTCTACTTGGGCGAGCAACACAGGACACGAGGAAAAAAGTGTCCGACTGTTCGTTGGTCGATGGCGAGGACTTTGGTGAATGGAACCACGGACGAGAGAAGAACGAATCGCTTCGAGCGGTCGTATCACAGTCTTTATCCAGTCATTAGGGGAACGAGGTTGTAAGGCGACCGTTGTCAATCGAAACCTTGGCGAAGCGAAGATTTTAATCTGACAGGGGAACGAACTATGAACACTGGAGCCATTGATATGCTGTGATTTTGCTTTATAATGGTGTTACGAGATTTTTAATCATTTTCGGGGTAAAGGTGAAGATTTTGGTAAAGTTTAGATGTGATGTACTGAATGTACATAATGTAGGAGTCTGAACGAAAAATAAGGCACGGGGATTCGAACCCACGATCCTCGCAGTCGACCGCTTTACCTACGCGACTCCTTATTGTTGGGTATGGGAAGCGCGGATACTACAATAATATTTCATAATTCACATAATAATGGGAGCATACAATGGGATCGTACTTTCTCGGTAATAAATAAGCATTGCTTGCCATGGAAAAGAGACGATTAACGAGCTACCGGTCGGTGAAGCGTTAATATTAGGTTATCCCAAAAGTTTCTTTCGTTTTATTAATAAGTAATACAAACACAACATTTTACGTCTAATGTTACATTATCGAATCGTGTACGATTCATTTTGCTCCATCACTGTTACAACATCAATATCTGAGAAATTAGATTGTCTATTTATATAAACACTGTCACACAAAATAATTGAGTGCAAATTACGAAAGAGACTTTTGGGACAACCTAATATAAGTTTTGCTTGATGACTCTGCTTAAAGGTGACTTGAATCCAAGACTCGAAACCTCGTGACAAACATCGAACCGTATTATTTTACACGCAAACTCCACATGAAATTTTCGGAATTAGATCTTCAAACGTCAGTAAAGCCTTCAATATACGTATGTATCCAAGTCTCATTAAAATCCGTAGTATTATCCCATAAAGTGTGCTAAATAGCACGAAGTGCCTGAAAGCATTTCCGTGACACAACGCTGATCGAACCGTATTAACAATATTCGCGACAGTCGTAAAGCTAATCGCGAAATCGTAGATGTCTAGTCCATTAGGGGCGCCCAAACGATTGATCTCCGCCGCTAAATACGATCGAGACTCCGCGGTAAATCCATCAGCGTAAATAACTCATAAATACTTAGCCGCGGAGCGGACCACAGTTTTATGAATGGTCACGGGGAACAGGTTTCCATCTAGCTGTGCGATCATCGAGACGTTTTATTTCTGCGTCGTTCTTGTTTTACGTTCCTCTTAATGCTGAATATCAATCGGCGTGGCGAGGCTTGATTAATTTTCTCAATTATCTAATTGATATTCATATCAATCAACGGTTGTCGAACACGCGTAGAATCAAGTGGAGGAGGTAAACAATTTTAAAATCAATCAACAATCTTTCTTTTCCTTCCACTGATCTTACAACCGAGCAAATTACGAGACAGTATTAGGTACAATGTTTCGACGAAGAGGTTGTACGAACATCTCTAGGCAGAAACTAATCTTGACAGAGAAAATGAAGCAATTCAACATCAGAAGCCACGTGAACGTTGCACGATACCCCCATTGTTGTAATTGACTGATTTTCCTCGGCATATTTCATTTACCACTGTGATGTGTACAAGCGTAGCCAAACGTTTGAGCTTCTCTGTATTTACGATATCCTATCATTTACATCCTCCGGGGTCGATATTGTTGTCGACGAAAACATGGATCGCATCGATCGAGGTTGCCTGTACTGTACGCAAAACTGCAATTAGAATGACGCTCGAGGAACTACCCGAACCGGTAACGTATCGCTTATCGATTCATTAACAACTCCGTTGCGACTACATCCTAATCAACAAAGAACCGTTGGTGAGTAGGTTATTCTACAAACGCGCCGGTTGTAAGTTGTAACTCCCCCCCCCCCCTCCCTCCAGGCTCCCCCCATAGCATTTAAAACGTTGCTCCATAGGGTAAAGGCAACTGTATTCGCTATCTTCGCGAGGTATCTCGTGCGATAAATCAACGTAAAAGTCGAACGATACTTATCGGTAGGTCATTGCTAGCCGAGAGTAGAGTTACCGATACGAAAATGTATGAAACTTGTTACTCCAGGGTCGGACGATTAATGTCAGCGTGTCCGTACTAGTTCCGATGTTTAATCAATGTTTGTGTTGCGCACGTTTTAACAGTCAAGTTTCCTTGCGCGTTACGTTGTGTTTAAAATTTTCTTGAATACTATTTAAACATCTTTTTTTTTTTTTTTTTTGGAGGAGTGAGAAGACGAAAAAGAATTACTGTAGTGCGAAGATTACTTTTATACCTAAAATGTGACAGTGATAAAAGTGACATATCTGTCCAATTTATCACCCCTAAAGACACATTTATCGTCTCCTAATTCCCACACATTCCCTAAACACCCGATTAAAACATCCATCGTCGTTCACCATCGGCCCACAAACGAACTAATTACCGGCCATCAAGATTGTCAAGTCATTCGAGGTACGAAATCCGTTTCATATCTCGTACATCAGAGATAAATGTACCAACACCGTATTCCTAACGATATCGCTTAATAGCACCCCGTCCGAATCTTAAATATCATGTAGTACGCGTAGTCCCAAGCTTCGATCGCGATTACCTCCGCTCGATAATTTCCCGAATAACGCGTAATCGTTCGAGAGGCTACTATGTTGCATCGAGTTGTGTGCCCCATCGTTATATCGGTATCGATCTTATTTATCTAAACTTGTAACGCGTATCCTGATTCCGCAGAATGGATCGGGCACACGTACACTCGTGAAACCCCATGACCATGATTTCTCTTCGCAAATCAATTTTGCGCCGGGAGACCTCCTTGGGATTCGAACCGCGACCTGGCCGGCCGGTGTTCAGTTAATTTGCTCGCTAGACCATGGTGGTCGGATAAATTAAAATAGATCCGGCTGCGAATTCCTACGGGCCTGGCTAGATTGCGTGCGATTAGAGCATCATCCGCCGTTCCTAACGACGAACGTTTGTCTTTCCAGGGAAGCGTATCTCATCGTGAGAGGCTGGGACCTCCAGGATGCCAGGGGTGTGGAGGTTGCTACGTATGATGATCTATATGGTGAGTGATACTGCAATTAACGAACGTGCATGCATCTGCCATAACGCGAGCAAAACGGCTGCGGATACCACTAGGAGCGGACCCACATGGAAAATGTAATTCAATATTGGTCTAACGGTTAGCCTCTGTGAAGCCTGCATGGGGAACGTCTGTTTACATTTGCCCGCGCAATAGGTATCGTACGCGGGTCGGATAAACGCAATTGTGCTACCTCGCGATGCGTCGTCGAGTTGTTTAAACCACATGCCTGGCAAATGCTGTTTCGTTTGATCTGTTCAGCATTTCCTGCGATTCCGAATCGCGTAACTTGGATCGAAACGGGTTTGTACGAGTGCGATGACGTTGGTCGTCCTATGGAAGCCTGAAATAAATTAACCCTTGAAATTAATTGTTGAATTTCCTTGGTGAAAAGCTCTGTCACTCATATATGATGTGCCATTCGTCGTGTTAAAATTGTCTGGCTATTCTCGAATATGAATGAAAATTTTCTCTTGCACTCAAAGGTTCGATGGGTTAAGTAAGTACCGAACGATAAAAGAGAAAAATTTCTCGACACCGATCCCATCGCCCGCCTGCCCCTTCCATTAAGTTGCAACGAATGCTTGTGGTTCATTACGGACGATTCTCCAGTCTAATGGTGGCACCGCGTCGAATAAGACCGCATGCCTGGGATTCCCATAGCCAACAAGACCGTAGTCGTTGCATGGTCCAGCAATCGCGCAACTCCTCGCAGATTCTCTTATCTCCCAGCGCATCCTTTTGTCGAGACAATCGAATCGTAGATCGTGCCGAGGTTCGGCCACCAATTCCGTTAACGGTCTATAATTTCGAGTATGTTTCCTAACGCCGCCATACTCCTCGTGGATCCCTTAATTAAAGGCTAACGGGCTTAGGAGTAAAACCCTGACAAGGGGGTACCGTTCAGAACGAGAAACGATGGACGAAAGGTGGGGGGAAAAGCGTTCCCTCCTCCCCCTGGCCACCATCCAGGTACGAACAGAGAATGGATGGAACGTGGCGCGTTCTGAAACGACTCCCAATGAGAAATTCGTCATAGTTCGATGACAATGCGATGACGCAGCGGGAGACTCGTCGGCTCACAAGCGGATATTGCCTACTCTAGGTACCGTTACGCGTGTCTTGCGACCTTCTTTTCCTCTTTTTCCCTCTGCACCTGCTTCCTCTGAAAGTTATTCAGGACCCCTGCGCAACCTATTGGCCCCGCGACGTTATTGCGTCTGCGGAGTGAGACCTCTTACTGCGGTCTCGCGCAGGAAATGCGTCGCGTCCTCTCGCGTGTCTGCTCCTTGGCAAATTTATGCGCTTCCGTGTCCATATTGTTCGCGCTGCTGGATTTATTATTCGTCCCACGGAGGACCGTGCACTCGCCAACTTTCATGGATTTCTTTACGTGTATGCAAAGCAACCGAGGGACCGTTGGCCGCGTCTTGTTTTAAATCCACGATATGGCTTCTGCGAAAAGAGAGATAGATCTTCGCTTGCAATCTGCTCGGGCAGGTAAAGCCAGGCGATCTTGGCAATGACCGCTCTGTGGAATTTTATACGTGGATATGGTTAACCCTTTCAAAACCTGAATTATCTTTTTTTTGATCGTACTAATGCAATTCAATTTTTAGGGTTAACTTCGAATAAAATTAGTATGGAAAAAAGATTCTAATAGTGTTGTTTTCGAGGAAAACTGGCCCTCCTTCATATCCACAAATGACATTCGCCCTAAACGATAGTGTCGGTAATTGTTCGATTTTGTGTCCTCAATTGTGGATCTAATCTAATATGGATGCCATTGTACATATTAAAATAAATGATTCGTTAATTATTACCAAATATTTAATATTGCCTTTAGCAGAGTACAGGTTAATAACAAATCAATGACACGTGTTCTCACCAGGATCGCAAGTTCTTCAAAAGTCTCTTCCATTAATTCATCACGTTGTTTTGACGTTGTAGTCTTCTCTTTGCTCGTTTCAACATCTGCGTAACATGTCTGCCCATCCACGTTACTTAATCTTTTCTGTTGATTAATCACGTTGTTTTGACGTAGTCGTTCTTTCTTTGCTGGTTTATCATCCCCGTAACATGACTGCTTGTTCTCATTGCTTACCAGGCACGTAAGAAACTCTATACACTGTGGATCTTTTGATCTTAATAGCGAACGATATGATGCATGTGCGCGAATAATTATCCGTTGAAGGAGCAACGCGTTTACAGGTTTTATAATTTCACAGAAGATGTAAGGACTGTCCTACACATTAGAATTTTGTAGTAAAATACAGTATACATATATTTAAACGATACTGGTGGTACGATCGACATTGTAACAAATTCGTTTTATTTCGTACTCAAATTAAAAAGCGATTGTTAGTCGGGGTATGATTCAACTTCTTACAAGTAAAGTAACGGTTTCATTTTGGAAGGTAATCTAAATTACACACGGAGATTCATCATTTCTTTTGTTCGATACATCGGAGGAACCTGTAATTTAGGTCTTTCGCCGGGAACATTCGACTTTTCATTGTGTGTTGTTAGGAGCCTCATCAGTGAGGCTGACCCAGCAAGCTTCGCCATAGGTGCGACTAGACCGTGCAATTAATTGCTGTATGAAGCAATGCTGGATTAAAAGAACCATGAGAAATTCAAGAATTACTTTTGTACCATATTATTATCCTGGATTATCAGTCAAATTTCTATTATTTTATACTTTTATACATTGCACGAATCGATTAACTCCATGAAAGAAAAAGTGGAAAAATCCGATGAAATGGCATCCCTAGAATCTATAAACGCACCGTACATAAAAATTTGTACCAAATGATTGTTTTTTCCCATAAAACGGCAATCATTTTTCGGCATCGGTCTTTGAATCGCGAACCACCGCTGGATGCTTCATGGGTATCCACTCGAAGGAACGTGACGGGGAGAAATAGACGCTCGTCCCAAGCAAAGACAAGCGCATAAGCGGGCAGAGAGGAAGCTATTTCCGCGTGTCACGAGCAGCACAATCGAGCACCGAGACGGGCATTAGTATTCGAACGCTAGAAGAGCCGCGATGGGAAACTCACCTACCTGCGCGCCTCACGTTCGAGTCACTCGGAATACTGATATATTCGCTGTTGCGACGAACCGCCGCGGAATCGTAAAGTCTATATCCCTGCGAATTGCTTCAGACCGCGACGCGTAATATAAATATCGTTTGCCATTCGTTTCACGTTCGAAAGCACGGGCGCATTGTCCCCAGGTTGATAGATGGCGGAGATAGAACCTCGCTCGTTCGCGGCGACCTCGACGATTTCTATAGCTTCGATTTTGCTTTTCCCAAACGCGAGGAAAATCTATCCGAATAATAGGACTCTTGGTTGAACTCGAAGTAAAAGACTTAGACCACCGCCCCCTGGTGGATGCTGCAGCGATTTAGGAGGACGCTGACGGCCAATGTGGGCTATAATTCAAAAGTTCTTAATTGCATTTCCTTCGTCATATTCAGTGGAACGTGGGTTCGGTGCAGTAACCAATTTATTAACAAAAAAAAAAGAAACCAATTGCGAATAGTAAATCGCGGTGATTTAAGATTACTGCTGACGAAAATAAAGCCGAGGATAACTAAATTGTTAGCAGCACACCAGATTCATCCTTCTCGTTAAGATGATTTCGAATGTTTTAACTTTTTTTTTTGTATTACATTCTATTCCGAGTTCAATAAATAGTTTCATAATTTCAAAGTTCGATGTTTCTAATTTACACCTTTCTATATTTTACGAAAAAGGTATAAACATTAATACATATATATTTCGTATTAATTGCTATTAAAATTAACAAAAAATTAATTTCCAGGGGGCGCTAAGTAATAGTTTTTCTGGAAAGGGAGCGGTAGGACAAAAAAGTTTGGGAACCACTGACTTAGATGTTGGAACGATGATATAATCCCGAAAATATCGCCATTCGTTTCCGTGACGCTATTTTTCTATCGAATCATCCTGCGAAGTGTCGCCGTGTCTCGCACTTTGCGTACAATGGCAGCAATGGGTATCGAAAATCGTTCTCCGTTGATTCGCCGATCCTCGATGTCGAGCATGAATCGAGGCGCGGCGGAGACGACGGACGGACGAGCACGGAAAAACAAGGCTCTCTCGCGACCAGCGTCGCGGACGCACACACGCGCGTGGTCCAGGCGTATGCCAGGTGCGTAATCATTTCTAATGAAACGTTGTCATTTAACAGTGCGATTGTAAGAGCGCAGAAACTTGTTTTCACTTGCGCGAAAAACGGCGACCGTTAATGCAGCGGTAAAGACGCCTCTCCCGTTACAGCATTGCGCGCGAGCAAGCCACGGGCATATACGCGGGGAACACCTTCCTTCGACGATGCTCACTTACGCGTACGTGTCGCGGATTTTCTGCGGCTGAGCCCGACCCATTCGGTCGTGTTAGTACGCTGGGTTCGAGGTAATACGCCCAAAGACGTACCGAAGAATGCACGCAGAGCGGAGACATTTCTAGAAATCCTTGCGGACGAACACGCCTAATCTCCCACGGCCTGCGCGCCTCTGACTCCCGTCCTCGGGATTCTTGGATCTTCGGGATATGGGACGAGGGAGGAAAAAAAACTAGGATCAGTTGGAACCAGAGCATTGGGGCATTGGGGAGATACTGTTTTTGCCACAAGGAAATGATAATTGCCTTCTGGATGGCTGCTTAGATTAGGTTTCAACGTTTCATGCTCTTATATAACTAAAATGCTTTATGTCTTCGAAGCGTTGAGTTCGTTGAGTTTGTCTATGGGTTGGACCTCAGAGCATTGGGGGAATAGGAAGATACTGTTTTTGGCACCAGGAAATGATAATTGCCTTCTGGATGACTGCTTAGATCAGGTTTCAATGTTTCAAACTCTTGTAACTAACCTCCTTTATATTTTTGAAGCGTTGGTTCGTTGAGGCAGTCTATGGGTTGGGCCTCTCGCCTGACTCCTACCCCCTCCACGCATTAGAGCGAAGCTATGTATTCCTATACTCAAATTTAAATATTCTAATTCATGTTGAAAATTCTCCAAAAACAGAATTGCTTCTATAAAGGATCAACATAGTTCTAAGACTACTAAGCTTGGCAATTTGATCCATGTACTTCAAATTTCTTCCTAAAATCACTCAATTATTAACAATGCTTTTATCGCAGTTTTTGAAGGCAATCACTGTAAAAGAAAATAGTAATTTTACTCTATACAACTTCCTCCCACTCATTTTTGAGAAATGAATCCACCATCCTTTCGGTCGTCATTTCCCGCTCATTTAATATCCATTCACTATGATTTGCTACTCCACGCTCAACTACCGCTACTTCCTACCTTACTCCGTGGGCACTTTATTAATCGCAATCGATCTTCGACCGATCGAATATTTCATTTGCTACGACCTAATAGGATCCGTTGTATCGTCGGAACGAGAGTCGCTCATTCATCGCCGCGGGATTTACGGTCAGAGTAGACGCGCCGCGGATGAATGTTGCAACGAGTAGTTTACGATAACCGTAATGACACAATCGGCAACGTCTGATTGAAAATAACGACGCTGGACACGCGAAATTATAGACGCCGTGGGATAGGTCTCGTCGAGGCGCTCGTTCGGGATATAACTCGCTATTCGAGCCGTCGCGGTTGATTTGTATCTCATTCGGTTTTAGCTCATTGGTAACAGACCGTTTCGAAGGCTGTAACTTGGTTTTTTATCGGTTGCTAACGCGCACGGGGAATATCCTGTACGTTACCGAGTAAAGCTCATCCCAGGATGATCTACATGGGTGCGCGCGGGCTGCGATTGGTGCACGCGCGATAATAATTTCACAATTCACGACAAGGGTATCTTCTATGCTTCGAACCGGTACGCGTAATGAACGATGGATCGGCTATTACGGCAGTCGTTAAGTAATCTCTCCTGCATATAGCTTAAGACGACTTACGGTTTGCATCCTCGAGAATAAATAGTAAAGTCTCTGTTCCGAGCGGTGCTTGCGAGTGTTAGGCGAACGATGAATATCCCGGAGGATGATGTACTGGCATGAGACTCTTCCTTTGGCTTCGTCGTGATCTTTATTGGGGTTCTAAATTAAATAGGGTCAGGAATAGATTGCTTTCATTAACAAGCAAGATTCCTCGAGAATCGGATACTCCATCCTCTAAGAAGAATTCTCGAGAAGCTAATTCCAATTGCGATCTTGATACTTGAAAAGTCACGTACGTCTTGTAGAATTTCATGCACCGCGATATTACAGAAAATTATACACGCGAGCATTTTCAGTTATAAAAACAGTTGTACTTATTCTATTATGAATTTATCCCAGTTTCACACAGCTGGGAAACAGTAGACTACAACGAACCGTAATTAACCAGCTGCAATGTGTACAATTTTCTCAATTACCGTCACATGTATCGCGGTTAACGTCTGACAAAAGGATTACCTAAAATGTAGCAAGCACAATGTGAACAACCGTTTATCTAAATATTCATACGACACACGTTGCCTCGATATAAATTTACGCAGTTTTAAACAGGAATTTCATGAAGAAACCGTTGCAGTAATTGTCCCATTCTTACGGAGGAAACGCGATAAAAGACTGAACCAACTAATTTTGAATAACAATAATACCAGAGAATTTACATGCTGATCGTGCGAAAATTTACGATCAGGATACCCCCAGTTCGTAAATAACATCTATGAGATCACTCTCTTGACTTTCAGAGCGTAACCAACCTATAAAAGTTTTATACCGATTATATATCTAGGTAACTATACCGCAACTCTTGCCCATCCTGTTACTCAATCAGATTGGACATACTGGCGTGTTGTATCCTGGAACTATACAAGTTGCAACCTTCAACACCTGATTTCATACAGATACGTTAATCTTTCTCGATCTCATCCATCTCGTGGGTTGTATGATAATTGCTTCATAACTCCGTTACCAGCCTATGGAGAGTAGGTACAACTGTTACCGTGGTCATTCAATTCGTCTAAAAAATTCCTTACAAAGTTACAAACAACACGTAGAAATTACTATGAAATTATTTTTCCTCTGTAAAATATTCATCGACACTACCGCTGTATTTAATTTGAGAAACACTGATTCAATTCCCCCAGAAAAATAAACTTCCACGAATAAAATCTCCTCGAGAAATAAAAGGAAAAGTTTCGGAATAGTTAAGCGGCATCTAAACGAAGAGCTGCGCTATTCGGGTCGCCGACGAGTGGATAACCCAATCCAGCGTCCGCGATTTCGCCGCACAAAGGATTAATGAAATCGTCAGAGTTACAGTATCCCCAACAGATACAGACATAAACTGCGAGGAATTGCTGAACTCGTAATAAATTTTGACACAATGGCCTGACCACCGTCGACAACCGCTAACTGGTGATTTACGCGCGTAACTTTGGGTCGCTCCTGGCCGAACGATATTCATAGAAGGCAGTAGCACGCGTGCCTCGTGATCCCCCGCGGTAAACCAGTGAGAAAGGAAGAGGAGGTCGTCGAGAGTTCAAGGTAGAAAAATGTGTTCGTTGAATGCACAGGTGGTTGGCTTGAAGAGCGTCGGTAGCAACAGCGACATTTGGCCGCTGGAGAGGCCAGAAGGAATGCCAGCCATACAATCCCTCGAAGTGATGTGCGGAAAGGATCACATGGACGTGCATCTCTCGTTCTCGCAACCCTTCGAAGGCATAGTCTCGTCCAAAGGCCAGCACGCCGATCCTCGATGCGTCTACGTTCCGCCTTCCACCGGGCAAACTTTCTTCTCCTTTCGGATAGCCTACGCGAGGTAAGACCATTAGATTTCCCATCTACTCGTTCAGCTGTGCTTATCTTGAAAAATATCTTTATAGGGAGGCTCTACGACCCTATAACTTGGGTCTATCAAAAGATTTAAGAGATGCTTAGCAAGCAAACCTAGATAATTTACCATGGAGGCTATAGAAAATTCTGTAGAAATAAATATAGTCAGTCCCATAAATATTCCTACCTTCTACGTCTATTAAAGAAATCTATCTAAATTTAACGATAGGTTTGCTATTTTCAAATAAATATTTCAATATTAATACACACAAGTGTAAAGTTCATTCGTGCACATATTTATAATGAAAATTTTATTTAAAAATATTACATCTACCATTTAATTTAGGCAGATTTATTTAATAGACATAAAAGGTACGAATATTTATGGGACTGACGTGTGGAGGATTCATGACTTTGTTGTTTACCTTGATTAAAACGTGGGCCATTTTAAACTTTGAGAGCCTAATTTACAAATCCAAATAAACAATAAAAATATTACTCGCAAAACGAAATCTTATAATCTTCAGTATCATTATCTTAGCAATGACATCAAATCGTTTGAAATTCCTCAACTTTGAGTGTACTATTTATTTTTAACCCTGATTCAATTAATAACGTGCCACAAATTTCGATCCAATTAGCATCAAAATGAGCTAAACGACGGATAGTCTCACTAAGAAAATTTATGTCATAATTATCACTCTTTGGCAATCTGGTCGAAAGTCGTTCCCACAGATAACTTTAAATTTAATTGATCGAGTTCTTATGGAGAAACCTGTTCGACAACATGTTATTTAAAATGTTCTTCAAAATGTGTAGAGTCAACTGTGGCAGGTTTGGGAGGATCTGAAAACTTTGAGGAGCCGCAATGACACTATAATATTCTTATTCCATACGTGGGATTAATTAATTAATGGGGCGATTAAGTAAGAGTATGTTTGCAATTACAAATAATCGACTAGAGTGCCAGAGAATTGGTTTCAGCGGCTGGTGGAAAACCTGGAACATGATACGAGGAGTTTCCATTGTAACTGTGTCAATCTTTAAATATCAGTCATATGTCAACGTTAATTTCTATCTAAATAACGAAGCGTCATAATACGAAAGAGTACAGGACTTTTCGGTCCATTTTCACCCAAAGAATTAGATAATACTACAAGAAATCCCTAAAATATACCCAAACATTCATCAATGAATTAATTTATCTTAAAGATTCTCTTCTTTTCGTCACAGATGCGGCACCAAACCGGACATGCACGGCCAATTCTACGAAAACACCGTAGTCGTTCAGTACGACAAAGACCTGCTCGAGGTCTGGGACGAGGCGAAACGATTGCGATGCGAGTGGTTCAACGATTACGAGAAAACCGCCTCGAAACCGCCGATGGTGATCGCCGATCTCGACGTGATACAATTAGACTTCAGAGGTACGGTTTCCCCCATCATGTACGCGTCAGTCTAACGTCGCCTATCGACGATAAATAAACAATCACGGTATACCTTAACGTTGTCGCGGAGTCTATCGAACGGTCGCGTGAGATCCCCGAGATAAATCGTGATGTACTTTAAACACCGTGAGACGGAACCGCGGGATCTATCGACACGACAGAGCAATTGCGACGGGCACTCGTTGCCCGATGTACGTGCGAGCAGTTTACGTCAGCCACATTTTACCGTGTACGAGAACTACGGGACACGTAGCGGATAGGAGAAACGATGATCCCTCGGCGCAAAGAGTTTAATACGAGGTAAACGATGGTACCGTATACGGTAACTCGTGCACCCGCGGTTTACCACAGGTGGAACCGCAGCCACGCCACTTAATTTCAATTTATGCAACGCGTATAAATTGCGCCTGGCGCGTCGCGCCTAGAAAGCACGAACCGCCCCTACCTCCGGGTCGCACAAATACGAGCATGCCAGTTCTATTGATATTGCAGGCGACAACGTGGATTGTTGGATGGAAATTCAACACGGCAAGGGACCATGGGCGCCGCCGGTCTCCGGGATAGTGCCGCTCGGCTCCACCCTCACCCTGGTCGTCGCTATAAACGATTATCGAGGTAACGACCGACGCACATTTCGAACCGCTGGAACAAATGTAGCGATCTCGTGGAAACTGCAGGGGTGCCAAGACGGTAGCAGCCTAACTGCGGGATACCACTCAGGATTGCCGTGTATTAACGAGTGTGAAATAGGACGACTCTGCTTACGAGTTATAGGATGTTTCAAGATTATGGACAAGTGCACAAGTGAACATTTACGAAAAACCAGAGACTCACCTTTTTAAGATGAATTTTAAATCCCCAAAACTTTTGAATCAATTACGTTTAATTCCATAGCACAATTAGTTCGAATTCCATCTGATTGCTTAACGGACACTTGGAAACCGACTTGAGCAGATCGCTATATTTGTTTCGACTCTACGCGAGACACCGTGAACTTCTATCAAAGGCAACTAACGTAACTTTTCTCGTTATCTCGATCCAGGAGAATTCGACATGCGTGTCAAGTCGTGCGTGGCGTCGGACGGTGGTGGGCACACGATACAGCTAAGCGACGAGTTCGGATGCGTGCTTAGGCCGAAAATGATCAGCCGATTCCTGAAGGCGCGAGGCTCGGATGATCGGGCGACAGTCATCACTTACGCCTTCTTTCACGCGTTCAAGTTCCCGGACGCGCTCAGCGTGCACATCAAGTGCAAGGTAAACCATGGTGGCCTTCAATCAGGAACGTAATTATCGCCAGATGAAATATTGCGTTGTTAGGCTACCGTGTTAGGGATGGGATCAAGCACAGGAAGAAGCATTTTAAGAAAGACAGGAAGCAATTCCAAGTAGAATTGAATCGGTAGGTACCTGTTTATCTCGATGTCGTCGCTAAAGATGGGATTGAGATCAATAGGTACTTACGAATCTAATTGTAGAATATTTTGAAGAACTGCTCTGCAAGATTCTAAGTTGCTAGTGATATCCATTCGCTAATCACAATTTCAGTTTTAACCCTTTACATTCCGAATTTAATTTCAATTTCGTTACAAGCAGCTCCCAACGCTTCTAAGTGTTTTATTTGAAATTTACTTTAACTAAAAAAAGAAGGGAATTTAAATAAATAAAGGAAGAAACAACTTCACCTAAATACCAGTTTTATTCTCACTTTTGTTGTATTTTGTAATCTTCGAGTGTATGATTTTCGTACGATTATGTATGAAGTGTAAAATACTAATCTATGAAATCTAGTTTCGAATCCTAAGGTGAGCACCTGTAAAATTCGAAAGTTGCGCTTACAAGTATTTCAATATTTGAAGGAATCGAACCTATTACAAGTAGCACTTAAAGAACACACTGTCGAGTACACGAAGCATCGTACGGTTCCATTCTACTAGGAAGTCCGACTTTTGTTTCTCAAAGTGCTTACAGAGGAATCGAATCTGCCTCGACGAGGTTCGAGTCTACTTGAAACTACTACTTTTCTTTCTCGTAATAGTTGGAGGACTCGAGCCTGCTCGGAAGGTGCTCGATCCTGTCGCTAACGTTAACTCGGAGAGCCTTTCGCGAAACCGCAAACAAATATTTACCGTCAAACAGCTGCTAAAGAGGTTCGATGAATTCGCTGAACGCACGACAAAAAGCGTCGACTCGTTCGTTATGCAAATTCGTCCGTTGTAAAAAAAAAAATAAAAAAAGAACGAAGTAGATGACGCGGTCCAGCCGGATGATAAGTTGTTTTGATCAATGTCAAGGTCGAGATTTGTCGTCACGGTTGTTTGGATCACTGTCAACTGAGCGGGTCCGTTGGCCACTACATTCAGGAGCGCAAGGATCAGATACGACCGCAGTATTCGCAGACCACAGCACCGCCCACCGTTCACAATGACGACAATAACAGCGCCGACAAGGATAACGAAAACGCTGGAGGGGGAGCCGAGCAACCGGACGGCTCCCTTTACGACGACATCATTCAAGATGGTGACGAGATGACCTCGATAGGGGGTCACTTCTTGGGGGTCGAGAAGTCGGTCCCGAAGGCGCAGGCGCAGACGAGCAACCGATTACCGGCGCCGGTAGTCGAGCCACAGGACGAGGAGATTCATCCTGACGACGGCGATCTCTCGAGGCCATTCTTGGTAATTATGAGAACGTATTTTTAAAAATGATTTCCTAGTGGACATTTGTTTAGTCCAAGAAAACGTAAGTTAATGACTCTGCGTGTCAAAATAAGACGAAAGTCAAGGATTGCGAAGTTGCGTTCGATGTTCTGTGTCTCTGTGATCTCCGAGTTATTAATCGTATGTCCGAGTATAAAGTGTCTGCGCATGAGGGACTTATACTACTGCCGCTGCGTGGACGGCGCGCCGCTGACTCGCAGCGGGAAAGCAGTGCTCTGCCTTCCACCGTATAATTTAGGAGATTATACCATAACTAGTCAGACTCGCTATTCATCTTCTCATCTCTGCATAGCGCTTGTTTCATAGTCTACGTAGTGACTTATGACATTACGTCAACAACTGCGATATACTAGTCAATCCCATAAATATTCTTACTCGAATTATATAATAATTTTCATATTACCAAATGAACTTTTCATTATAAATATGAACAAGCTTATACATGTATATATTTATATATGAATCAACATATTTATACAAATATACACTTGGAAACGTCAAACCTGCCATTTAATTTAAACAAATTTCTTCGATAGATATAGAGGTTGCGAATATTCATGGGACCGACTGTGCATTGTTTCCAATATTTCAAGTTATCATCTCAATAATAGAAAATAAATTCTCGCCACCATAAAAGCGACCCAATCTTCCACTAGTTCTTAACCCAGTGAATCTATTTTCAGGATCCACCGAGAGTGACGCGATACGAGAGCGAACAGGATCAGTTCCCTCATGGTCCGCGGAATCTCGAGGGTGAGACAGCTGTACCGGTGACACCTCTTTCGTCTCCGAACGGCAGACGAAAGAGATCGGTCGTAGTGTCCGACAGAAAGATACGTAGCGCGGACGTCGGCGTGAGCGGTCTGTACGAAGTGATTTCCGAGGCCGATCTGGCCTTCAGCCCGGACACTCACGCGGAAGCTGTAACGGTCTTTCAAGGTAGAATACGGGAGGAAGTGGTTTATGGTATCTGCCTGCCCATGCCCGGTTTCAGCGCGTTGTTCATCGTTGTTGCTCTCTCCGCGGTGATCTCTGCCCTCGTGGCAGGGGCGATGCTTCATCGGCTGCAAGCGCAACGCGAGGCGGTCGACAGCAGAAAGAACAATAGGGCCGTGCACACGACCAACGGTTGGCTGCCGTACGGGTTGCTACGCGTGCGCTGCACGATGAGACCGGCTCATCCCGAGCAAATCCAACAAAAACAAACGAGTCCAGTCGCCACGAGTCCCTCCGTCGAGAGAGGTTGACCATTCGCGACTGTTCGTGCCGGAGAGCGTTAGGCGCGTCGTCCACGCTCCTCGAAAGACAATGTGCAATAATATGCTGTACAAATTATTTTAAGTGCGTTAAAGCGCGCCCGCGAGTTTCCCACGAACTGTTCCGAGACGACCCTTCTTGGTGTTTACTTAGAGCGAGAGCGAGAGAGTGAACGAGAGAACGAACGAGAGAGAAAGAGAGTTCCAACGATGCGCTTTAAACCGAGCTCCATTTAGAGCAGTGGTTCTTAACCTCTTTTTTTCCCCAAGGATCCCCCTCCCCAACCCCTGCCCGTCTGGTTGGAGATCATGGCAGTGTTGGGCAAAATGGAATCCATGGGTTTGATTACCGGGTGATTTATGGTCCATGGAAATTCGATAGAGTTTATTAATTTATAGTAAATAGCTTTATGGAACGTTACGAAATGCAGGCGTGCCCGGCTATATGAGAGAAATCGGGGTCGGAAATTCGCAATTACTCGGGGTTGGTCGACGATTCAGTCCAGGAATCAATCTGTCGTATCTCGAGCTGAGACCAAACCACGCGTGAATCGTCCAAAGAGAAGAGCGAATGAGATACTCGTCTCGCGTCTCGTATTATGCGCGCTCGGTCATCGAACTTCAAAGCGGTGCCGCAAGTCTGTCTATGTTACAGCCATTTATGTAAACTAAAATCTCTTATAATCTTCATTGCATTATTGCAGAAGTATTTTACAGTTAACCTGTTGATTTGAAGGAACTGAAATGTTTAATTGATTATTATTTAGCGATAAATAGTAACGTATCAGTAAACTTGAATTCCATTTATACTTGAAAACCCATAATTGTCCTTGTATCTCTGTGAGAGTATTACCAATGAATTGTCAAAGTTCTTTCTATGAAAATAAGTCTCAACGTGATTATATACAAACTGTTCTCCGTTACACGTGATTTAATGTTTCGCAGAAAGTATTCGAAAGACGTGTAATTAAAAATGGTTCGAATACAATTATGGTTGGTTTAATTTTAATGAATGCACCTTTGCACCTTTGCTCTCGACGATGAAGGTAAAATGAGAAATATAAAATCTTTTAGTTTTCGTTAGTGTCTGCCAATATTTATACGCAAGTTGCACCGCTTTAAAGTGCAACCAGCAAAGTTCCATGGACTCCTTGTTAAGAACCACTACTCCGGAGACCAAGTTTTCGATAGGTGTCTTTTTTTATAGTTTCGCGTGAAAGCATTATAGATGATTATTTTTGAAAAGTTGGTATTGGGTAAGTAAGCAGTATACTTGCAGCGGATAGTAGCTATATATAATAGAATAAATTAAAGAAATTCGCGAAAAGGGAACTCAGAATGGACGACGCGACGGCTTTCGCTGTGAATATCGTAAACGCGTCGCTTCGTCCTTGAGATTACGAATGACATTGTTAGCAACTATGTTTTTATTACTTTTTTCTGTTCGATGTATCATTGATCGAGTCAAAGACGTTAAGTGCGGAATTACACCGCTTTTCGATGGATGCGTCTCTTTCCTTAGATAATTCACAAACGGAAAGAACTATATCTGTGGAATATAAACTCTCGCGATTTACGAGATTCTTTTTTCGTATGTAAATCATCGCGTTTATATGCCGTGTAGCATTGCACGTCTATTATCTACGTATTTAATGATCGATATGCTAGAGATGCTGCTATGAATTGTACTTAGACAATTGTAATCAAAATCGAACGGAATACGATACAATAATAATTGAAACATCCTGCTATCGTGGAAATGCAAATTTTCCACCACTTATGTTTTTCAAATTATTATTCCAAGTGTTTCTCGAGTCGTGATCGATACATATATTTATTAACAAGAGAAACGTTACTTTCGATCTTTTATACGTATGTGAATTATGGAAATCAATTGTAAGGTAAAAGGAAGGTTGGGAAATTTTTTTTGTATCCAATAATTAATAAGAAATCCTTTGATGATCATAGACACATGGTGAAATTACTTTGAAATAACAGCACCTCTAGATCTAGCCCCAAAGAGGCTGACGATAACACCTAGCTGAAGATAAGAAAGCAATCGTAAACATTATCGAGAAAATTGAAAAACGCTGCTACGAAGCTCAATCCCTTTTATTTTTAAAATATGTATACCGTTACGTTAGTATAATACAAGAATTCGATATTTTTAGACATTTAATCTTCCGTTGACACACCACATCAACAATTACTAAAGATATCATTCGATGGATTCTAGACACCCCGAACGATAATCATTATTTCGAAATATTATCAAAAATGATATCCATCGCAATTCTTTTTTCTATCATCAGGCATTTATCGTTTGGTTGCGTCAACTGAAGGTTAATAATCGAATAGAAATCGATTGCCTCCGCAGGCCTATTGAATTTCGCGACTAGAGCATAGGAAGAATTATTTAAGAAATCCCTGAAGCGTAATACGCATTAAAGAAAACGTCCAGGAAGACGTTTGGTTTACCGTGGACGTTGATCCTGAAGTACCACACGTACGTAATTATACATATAAGTAGGAAGACTATATTTGGAGAACATTACGAAAGAGAGAGGCCACTTTGAAGCACGCGTGCGTGTACAAAATAAAACAGAGTAGGGAGGAAGCTCTTTGTACAGGAAAACGAAGCTTCCTCGTATCCCCTTCATCTTCGTTCGCGTATCGCGTGCACGCCTTTGTAACAAAAAGAAAGAAACGTCTGTTGTTTTCCTTCTCCCCCCCCCCAAAAAAAAAACGAATTAATTAACGATGCGGTGGTTCGGATGAATATGTGTTTATTTAATCACTCGTCCAAACGTTTTGCGAAACGCCAGAACGATTTTAGCCCGTTAGATTATCGCCTAGGCTATAAATATATGTATACGCGTGTATAGAAAAAAAGATATTGCGTGGTGGCAAGGAGGATTTTTAAAATTAAGAACTAGCAACCACCAATTTCGAGCACGACGAATAATATCGAGCCGCGTACAGACCAAAGAGCCAAGGCGACCAAAGGCACATGCGCTCGAACCTTGGCGAACGTTGACGCATGTGGTCATTCGCATTCGATCGCCTTGGCTCTTCGGTCTGTAAACGGATTTAGAATGAATGTTGCTCCACTCTGAAAGGAACAAAAAAGTTAAGTCGTTGTTTTAATCGAGAGGTTGTGTTTTTATTTAACATAAATCAATGATAATGCCAATAAATGTATTTACAGCACCTTAACCGATTTCCACAGACCCGACGATTTACTTTCTTCCTGTGTTGTCGTTGCCCGAAGTACACTTCGTATAGCAATCGTTTGTATCGAGAACGTTCGCGCAAAATGGATGGCAAATATAATTATAAATTTATTAATCGTATATAAAAGTTTAAGTACCAGCGTTCTCGTAAAAAGTACATTGTCTCGTCGATGAAGAATAATTTATTCCTTAAATCTACTTGCTTAACGCTAACATTAAATATTATATTATATAACCTTTCATATACCATTACAAGCTACTGACTATTGCTTTATACATTTGATCTTGGTATCTTGTATATTTCCCCACTGATGTTGGAAGACGTTCAAGTGCATTCTTTGTTTGCAGATAATCGAATCGCTGGATGAAAATGAACGATTCGGTGTTTATTAGTTGAAATTTTCCAGTTTTCATACACAGACTCTATCGATGAACCAAAGATAAAACTCGAAAACATAAAATTTTGATTCGATCACATGCTACGGAATTATTTCCAACACAACCACGAACCAACATCATCCTGTCAGGTAGCGTATCTACCACTATGCAAACCAATTCGTTCCAATGGAATGTTTAATAATCTCCTCAACGATTTGACGATAACGTTCACAGTTCGAACTCGCACGATCACAGGTGCACAAGATGGATCGTATAAAGCAGAAGAAATTTGGAACATTCTATGCAACAAACAAATAACGGTGATGACGATAATGTAGTCAACAACATTAGAACGAAACGCTTCTCTTTAAAAAAAATATACACTATCATCTCGCAGTATTTCAGCCTTAGTCGTGCCCAGTGCACACATTGTTCGCACGCAACCAGCGACGATTACAAAACAAATAGAAGAAATACCCAAATACCATGGTCCCGAAGTAATTGTAACAAGGAAGTTGCGAGCGCAATGTTTGATTATCTTTGACTAAATTTTCAGAAGGGAAGGGACGGGGATCGAGGGTGGAGTGACTATACACAGTCGCCTGTAAGGGTTTGAGCGTTAGTTTTATCATGACGAAGCACAAATCCGTATCGCTGTATCGTTCCGAACGAAAATTAAACGCGATACACGTAGCAGAGAGAATTCTACTTATTTTATTACGAACTATACTCTGTCTGGTACGTGCCGGTATACAGAATCGTGCTTGCGACATTCTGTAGCCTCTACAATACCTGGAATGGAGCGACCAGGAAGACCGGTTTTCTGCAAGATCCGATGAATAAAACTTGGGAAAAAGTTTTCCGCGATCACGGGGTTTCGAAAATGAGCACGAAATTGAGAACCCGGTCACCGAAATTCCTACTCTGTACCATTCGAAATCCGGTAACCATCATTGAGCAAGTCTACGTGGAAGTAATACTTCTTTTTTTACGTATTCCATCTACGTGCTGGAACGAACGAGAATCCTACGTTGACTCGTGATTCGTCGTTCGTATCCTCTTCGATAAATAATTTAATGTTATTAATTAACCAGCCTCGAGGGAAAGGCTCGATTTAAACAATCTCCACGTCCTAATACCGTCCGCGACAAGAAGATGGCACACTACGTCGTTTTATCCGCAACGTGAAAACGGTTTTAAGAATACTGGAGATTTGACTGATAGACTCTGCAACAGACGGTAATTTCAAATTGTGTAGCAGGGCTGAAGACCATTTCCTGGTTTGAAATCATTCTCAGCCTTGCCATAGTGGATCTGAAACTTTACGTTACAGAAAAATGGCAAAAACTCCAACTGAGACCTTGTATAAATCGTTAACGAACACGTTGATCAAGGTGCTTCGATT